GACACTGCAGCCATGTGAATGATTTCAAATCAAAGTCTCTGGTCTCTTCTGGGGACTTTCCCTATGTGTGTCCCTTTTTCTGTGATCCTGGCCATCTTTCAATCTCTTCTCTCCTCTCCCTTCACTCGATAGTATTTTCTTTCTGAACCTTCTAGTTCTTCTTTCTTTACATTCCAGAGCAATCCAGCCCTTACCCTCCAGACTGGGCTCTTAGACTCTTTCAGGCCGTCAAGGTGCCCGCAGGTATCAGGGTTCAGCCTGCCCCGTCACATATGGGAAGCCCAGCGTCTCCCTCCAAATCTCCTCCCTGTTTCCCCCACAGTCAGCACTTCCAGACTTTTCCATCTGGTAATGTCCTCCAGCCCTGGCACAGGCCTGGTACCCAGTAGGTGATTAACAAATGCTTTTGGAATGTGGAAGGTTGCTTTCTGCCATTGTTTTTCTCTTATCGTGGTGAGCTGCTCCCAAGCAGGGCTGCTTGGGGACCAGTGCTCCTATCTGGGCCTGGTTCTCAGGGGTTCAGGCCTTGGCCTTGCCTGGAGGATAACTAGGGCACTGGGGCCTGAGCAGGGCTGGTGAGAGCAATCCTCTGAAGAATAGGTGGCTATGGTGGGAGGTATCTCAGGCCAGTCGTCTACCTTCCTCCACAGGTGGAGACTCTCAGTCAGTTTGGAATCCTGGAAACCTTGACTCTCAGAGCATCTGAGTCTTAGAATCCAGAATCCTAATTAAGAACACAGACCCAGCCAGGCGTGGTGGCTCAGCCTATAATCCCAGCACTTTGGGAGGCGAAGGCAAGAGGACTGCCTAAGCCCAGGGGTTCAAGACCAGCCTGGGCAACTTGACAAGACCTCATCTCTACAATAAATCAAAAATTAGCCAGGTGTGGTGGTGCACACCTGTGGTTCAGCTACTAGGAAGGCTGAAGCAGAATTGTCTTAGCCCAGCAGGTCAAGGTTGCAGTGGCCATGACCGTGCCACTGCACTCCAGCCTGGGTGACAGAGTGAGACTCCTACCCCAAAATAATTAAATAAATAGCCCAGACTCCCTGGATTTAGACCCCGCCTCTGCCACTTATTGGCTGTGTGACCTCGAACGAGTTACTAAACTCTCTGTGCCAATATTTTCTCATCCATAAGCGGGTAGCAACGATTCTACAAGATTGTGGTAAGGATTAAGTGAATTAATATTTGTCAAGGGCTTAGGCCAGGGCCTGGCACAGATAAATGATCTGTGAGCATTTGAGAAATAAATCAGTGTGGCTTCTGAGAACGTGGAAATCTGTCTCTTTAGGCCAGGAAGGGACCTCATTTCATGTCCCAGGGCAGAAATCTGCCCCAGCTTCCTTCAACCCCAGCTTGTTCATCTAGCCATGACAAGTGCAAGAAAGTTCTTCTGGGGGGTGGGGTGTGCCTAGGCCCAGCAGCTGCTGGAGTAGTGAGAAGGGCTTGGTTGGGCTCTGTCCCTGGGAGAGGGCAGGGGGATGGGGGACCTGGGGGCTCTGGGAAGGTGACAGGTAGCCTGGCTCCAGCTGTCAGTGGGTGTGCTAGGGGGCTCCAGGCCAGGGTTCACTTCCCCCATTCCCTGGCAAGGGCCTGGCAGGCCCCTGCTCCCAGGACATGGCGGGCCCCCACATATGCGCGGTGGCTGCAGCCTTCTGCAAATACCAGGCACAATATAAATAGCAATAATGAATAAATGAAGCTCCTGCAGTCAGGGAGGGCCTTCAGGAGGGACCGCCCCAGGCTCGTCTCTTGCTGAATTTTCAGAGGCACTCCCCGCCCCAAGCCAGTTTGAGGGCTGTCCCTCAGCCCCACCTCTTTCAAGACTTTTAGTCTGTGTCCTCAATGTCCGCAGAACCCACTTCCTACACTAGGGGTGGGGTGGGATGGGAGGAATAGTGACAGAGTGGACAACTAGGGCGTGAGTTGAAAGGAAACTCACTTAGCACTTAGGCTAGCTATAAAGCAGGACTTCTTGACAGTGTGGACGCTTGAAGGAGGCTAGGGAGGGAGTGTATGTCCTGCCGGACAGGGAAGGGGCTAGCATCATGGAAGGGGGAAGATTTCTGCTCAAATCTCAAAAAGAACTTTGGGTGGGGCATGGTGGCTCATGCCTGTAATCCTAGCACTTTGAGAGGCCAAGGTGGGAGGATTGCTTGAACATAGGAGTTTGAGACCAGCCTTGACAGCATAGCAAGATTCTATTTTTTTAAATGTTAAAAACAAACAAACACAACCCCCCCCCCAATAACCCTGAATGATCAGAATTGCCCAGAGGGCAAGAGAGCTGCCCCCACAGGTGGTGAGCTCTGCAACGCCCCAGGTATGCAATCCGAGGCGGGGTGGCCACCTCAGGAGGCAGGAGCTGTAGGGACCCAAACCTGAGAGCTCCCCACTTGGTGGCTTCTCAAGGTCCTGTCGAACCTTCTGAACTTACGACAAAGCTGCCAGAGAACAGGGGCAAGCGAGCCCTGGTTGGTATCGTCTGATCCTGCTGTCTGATTTTTCATGCCCTCCAGGCCCTGGGCTTTCTAGCTGTGCGTTCAGCCATGCAGGGCATGGAGCGCCCGCCCACCACCTTGCTACTGTCTTCATGCCTCCTCCCTCCTTGGTGCCATCTCCCCACCCACCTCCTCTCCTCTTATCTCAATCCGCACAAGCTTTCAAGGCTCACTTCAAGCCTCCCGCCTTTGATGAGGCCTTCCCTGAAGACTCCTGATCTGAAGCCCACTCTGATTTGAAACACGTCTGTCCCCCCGTGGATGCTGTCTGCCTTGCTGAATTCACACCTGCAGGACACCCCTAGCCTGGCACGTGCTCACAGTCCGTGCAATTGTGGATTGATGACGAAGGTTTGTCTTGTCTCCGTGGATGGATTAAAAGCTAGGAAGGGATATTTGTTAAACATCTACTATGTGCCAGGCACCATGCCAAGTCCCTTAAAGACTGCTGGCATCCTGCAAAGTGTGAACTTTTATCCTCATTTCACAGATGAGGGGCCTGAGGCCAGAGACATTAAGGGGCCTGCCCACCACCCTCAGCCAGGAAGCAGCAGAGGTAGGAGAAAACCCAGCGTAACTTCCTCCAAAGCTGTGCCTGTCTGGCCCCACGAGGGGGCCTCAGGGTGGGCCTCGGCATCCCCCCAGTCCCGCCCCAGCCCAGTGCAATGCTCCTCACTGCACATTCTCCAAGGAGGTGGTGAGGGTTTCCCTGGGTGGCCCAGTGTGAAGACATTCTGAATGGGGACTGTGTGTACCAGACTCACACCTGGGGCTGCTGCTTCCCAGCTGAGTGACTGCCCAGGCAGTCTTTGGCCCCAGTTTCTTCATCAGCAAAATGGGGGCAAAAAGGTGGAATGCCAGGAGGTTTAAGAGGTGCCTGGCACACAGTAGGAGCTCATTAAATGCTTACTGAGTCAGGACAATGAGTAGTCAGCTTGACCTGCATTTATTTGGGAGGGTCTTGATGCCTTTGGCTGGATACAAATGGGTAAGTGAAAAGGGATTGTTTACCTTGGACGCTGCCCTCCCTCAACCCATAGCCCACAGGTGAGAAACGAGACTGGGGTGACAGGCACGAGACTGGGGTAACTGGTGACGCAGACACAAGTGGAGGTCGGTTTCCTGGAGAAGGCCGACCTCCCAGGGTCCTGCGTCCCAGGCTGCTGGGGGTCCTGCGCAAGCCTTCCTGGAGGAGGTGGCTTTTCAGCTAAGCCTAGAAGAACGGGAAGAAGTCGAGGTGTGAATGAGCAGCTGGAGGGGCCTGGGACTCCGAGCGAGCTTTGGAGTCAGGGTCTGGCTCAGCTCAGCCACGTAAGAGCTGGGCCTTAATGGGCTGCCCCTCACGGGGGGGAGACACCCCCGCCTTGCATCTCAGTGCGAATCAGAGTGTAACGGGCCGATCTGGCACCTGGGACGTGGGGGTGGCCAGCAACGGCCCCCTCCTTTTTACGCATGACGCAGTCCCCATGCCGAGGGGTCAGGACCCTCCCCCAGGCACGACCCCGAGTTTTAAGGAGGCGGCCGCCAGCCTGGGGGCTTGCTGCCCTCCGGGAAGGGGTGGGAGCTCACCAGCCGCCGCCGTAGTCTGTCTGTCGCCTCCACGCCTCCCCCCTCCAGCGTCCCGCGCCTGCAGCTTTCCCCGAAGACATTTGGTGTCAGTATAAGGACGGCTTTGCCTCGCACGCGGCGCGGCTCGGTCTCGCCGCCGCACGTCCC